TTTTTAAATTAAATTAAAAAAAGGGGAAAAATTAGAAAGGACGGAACAATAACTGTGGGAAGAGCAAAAAAAACTGAAACTGAGTTAGTCTTCAGAATCTTTAGACCATATAAAAGCGAAAAAGCTTCTGCTTTTCTAAAGCCTAATCGAATCAATTCAATGGTGCTTCATTTTGATCTTCTTTTCCTCCGGCTTCTTCTTTGTTCCTTCTAGGGTTTCATCCTCCTGCAATTCCTGCGAGTTTTTTGGGCGAATCCAAACTCTCCAGAATCATCGGATTTGTTTCTGGTATGTCAGATTAACTCAATTGGGGCTCATTTACTTTTTTTCACTCTTTCTAAATCCTGTGTGCAATTCTCATTTATTGAGGGTTTTTATGGGACTTTTTCTTTTGGGTTATACTCGTTGTTTTTTTGACTTTTCGTAAGCTGTGAGGTCGTGTAGTTCGGTTTTGACTTGTGTTTGGTTGGTGGGAAAGCGTAGGAAAAATTCTGGGGAAATTTTTTGATTGTTTGGGCAAGATTACCATTTTAGGCCGTTTCTTGCGTCAAATTGCTCTGAATTCCACTGGTTAGTTGAGTGTTTGGTCGTGTTTATTTTTTAATTGAGTTTTCGGTTTTGACACTCTCTTTGGTCTGTGATAAAATGTAGGAAATCCTTAAAAGGGTATTTGGTATTTGGTCTTGGAGATTCTTTTATGTTTATCTGTAAGTCATGTTGATTTTAAATTTGGAATTACTGAAATAGTGATGAACTGGGTTTTGGTTTTAAATTGTTTGAATCTACTGTATTGTTTTTGACTTTTTTTCCTTCTAAAAATTTCCTTATTTCTTTCCAGTTAGAATCAAGATTTATTGTATTTTTCGTTTCGGGTTGATTAGAAAGTTTTAGGAAGCTAAAGAATTATGAGGTCTATAGGTGTTGTAGCTCAGTCCTCTTGTTGCTTGCTGGTAATAAATACTATATTGAATTTTTGTATTTTTTTTTCTTCTTTCTTTCTTTTCTTCTTGTTTTAAATTGGATACAGGTTTTGGGATTAGCATGATCTACTGTTCTTTGTTGAGAAAATAAATGCTGGTAACAATTTTGTGAAGGCATGTCTTTGTGTGGGTACGTGAGATGGTTAAGTTTGCCATTGTAGGATTGGTTAAGCTAGTCTTCTGGTTTTGACAATTTTGAGACATCACTCACCTTTAGAGACCAGATAGTTGAAAGAGGCAAAATTTCAATGACATTGTTGCGGATCACAATAGAAGGGTGATCTGTTAATGTTTGTCATGATTAGCTTTTGAGCAATTACTTTTTATTAGCTTTTTATTTCAATTAACAGATGCTTGTGCGTGTTTGTTACATGTTGGACATTTTGACTTTTCCAGCTGATAATAAAAATGATCTGTTGACTGAGAATATTTGGTCATTTTATTTTTTTTTTATGAACTAGAAATGACTGCCTTAGATTTACCATTTCTTGAATCTTACCAGTTATTTTGATCTAATAATGGATTATTATTTTAATCCTTCTCTTGCAGACTTCATTTGTTAGATTCTGTGGTTATAAAAGGGATGCACACAATATCTTCACAGTTTTAATTGTGAACATTAGATAGTTGACGACAAATGTATAAGTGACTGGTTAGGTGAAAAATGTACATTTGAGAGGGTGGTTAAGGAGAGTGGTATTTATTTTAGTTAACAATGGAAACCACAAGGCGTTGGTTCAACAAGTTTAAATCAAAAGATAAGTTAAAGTCTTCAAAGACAAAGGAAGCAACAGGTAATTTGAAAGAAGGGTCTAAAGCCCCAACAAGTGAAGAAGCACCATCTAATGTAACCAAACAACGGGTAGCAGCTGCGAAGCAGTATATTGAAAACCATTACAAAAAGCAGATGAAGGACCTCCAAGAGAGGAAAGAGCGGTATGATTTGAATGCTTCTTTTCATGTCAATAATGTTTTGTTGTATACCAGTAAGGGCCATGATAATATAACTCGTAACATTTTGTTCCACATTAACATATGATGGATATTGAATATGAACTGTAAAACATAATTTGTGTAACTTTATTTTCTAGTGATATCTGATTTTTCCTTTTTATATTACAGAATTGCAAACAATACTTTTCACTGTTGTACTAGACCAGGAGTAATTATGCATGGGCAACATTGCAATTCTTCAGTTGTTAGATAGATAAAGTTTTAAATTGCTTATAAGATTATACCCTCATAGGGAATCCGTTGAGTGTTGTCTTGATAACTATGATTTTATGCAGACGTAACATCCTCGAAAAGAAGTTGGCTGATGCTGAGGTCTCTGAAGAAGAACAAAACAATTTACTGAAGTATCTAGAGAAGAAGGAAACAGAGTACATGCGTCTCCAGCGGCATAAGATGGGAGCTGATGATTTTGAGCCATTGACAATGATAGGAAAGGGTGCATTTGGAGAGGTATTGTATTGAAGATTTAACTTATTTTGTTTTCAAGGTTTCAATCTATATTTATGCTCAATCTTTTTTAGTTTTTTGACATCAAAATAAGATGAAAACAGATTCTTCTTTGTTTGTCTAGAAAAGTTACTGCACTTTAGGGTGGATTTGTTTTATTGATTTCTGTAATATGGATGTCATAGTCAGCTTTATTGTTTTGCTGGTATATGCCAGGGAACCCAAGATTTCAGGGAAAGCTTTTATATGCCTTAGATTTTTTGGAGCTAACAGTTTCTACTGAAATTTATGGTTATGAAAACATTATGTTACTATATTAGAATGTAATGCAGCCCAAGAAAAATAGACAGGTTCAACTATGCGTTCAAATTTTTATTTTTCCAAACACTAGATCTATTTCTTTGCTTGCTTTTTCCCAATAAAAGAAAAAGAATTCCTCTTGTAACTTTATTTTTTTTCCATTGCAGGTTAGAGTCTGCAGGGAGAAGGCAACTGGCCATGTATATGCCATGAAGAAGCTTAAGAAATCAGAGATGCTTCGCAGAGGCCAGGTTTACAATTTTAGCTTACAAATATTTTTGTAAGGGCTCTTTTTTTAACCTCTGTGCTAATTTGAGGTCTATTTTAACATTCAGGTTGAACATGTCAAAGCTGAGAGGAACTTACTAGCAGAAGTTGACAGTAATTGCATTGTTAAATTATATTGTTCCTTCCAAGATGAAGAATATCTATACCTTATTATGGAATATCTGCCTGGTGGAGATATGATGACTTTACTAATGCGCAAGGATACACTGACTGAGGATGAGGCCAGATTTTATGTTGGGGAAACTGTCCTGGCCATTGAATCAATTCACAAACACAATTATATTCATAGGTAAACACCATATTTGTCATTGAATGTTGATATGCTTTCCCTAATTGTCTGCTCCATTTGTACCGTATGGGCCAACTGTCTGTGTTAACATGTTGCAGAGATATCAAACCTGACAACCTGCTGCTGGATAGATATGGTCATATGAAATTATCAGATTTTGGATTATGTAAGCCTCTAGATTGCAGTAATCTCCAGGAAAAGGATTTTTCTATGGCAACCAACCTAAGTGGGGCCCTTCAGAGTGATGGCCGTCCTGCAGCACCAAGACGAACACAACAGGAACAATTGCAGCATTGGCAGAGGAATAGACGGATGCTTGTAAGTTTCCTTTCCTTCCATCATTTGCTTAACATTATGGTCTCATTTTTGTTAGTGATGGCAGCATCTAGAACCAAATTAGAAGTATAGTGTGTTTAACCTTAATTCTCATAGTTCATAAGAATTTGGTCAAACCATTCATGAGTAGGCTTATATTTTATTAAATTTTGAAAGAGTTAAAGATTTTGCCTTGTCTAGCAGCTTCATAGATGCCTTTTATTAGAACAGTGAATGAATGTTTTTGTTTGATAATTAACTGTGAATTAATGTTGTTGGTTCTTTTGAATATTCTGATGTTTCAGGCTTATTCTACTGTTGGTACACCTGACTACATTGCTCCAGAGGTTTTGCTGAAAAAAGGATATGGAATGGAATGTGATTGGTGGGTAGATTTGCTTTGTCTTTTCCATTAATAAGTTACACATTCCCAAGATACTTTGGATAACAAGTTATGATTTTTCTCTAGGTGGTCTCTTGGTGCTATCATGTATGAAATGCTTGTTGGATTTCCACCATTTTATTCAGATGAGCCAATGACAACTTGCAGGAGGGTATGATTGTGACAACTATACTACTTTATTGATTTGTGCTATTATAACTTAAAAGTTTACCATTTTTTTGTCTCCCTTTATTCTGAATGTTTTCTTTGTTTAGCCTTTATTACTCAACTTTGCTCGTTTCTTTTCTTTGTCATTAATAGTCCGATAACTTCTTGTTTCCTCCATTATCCAGATAGTAAATTGGAGAACTAATCTAAAATTTCCAGAAGAAGCAAAGTTGTCTCCAGAGGCAAGAGATCTTATCAGTAAGCTTTTATGTAACGTTGAGCAGAGGCTTGGCACAAAAGGTGCAGATGAAATTAAGGTGTAGTGTGGTGTGTTCTGTTCTGGATTCTTCAATTTACTTTAAAAACCACAATTGCAAAATGACAAATTAACGATGCTGGCCCTATAAATTTCAGGCCCATCCATGGTTTAAGGGTGTTGAATGGGACAAATTATATCAAATGAAAGCGGCATTTATTCCAGAAGTCAATGATGAGTTGGATACTCAAAACTTTGAGAAGTTTGAAGAGGTAAATTAGTGTTAGTATAGATGTGGATTTGATATCCTTATTGAGGGATTCTTATTGTTTATCTCCTGATCCTGTTCTCTTGCCTCTTAACTAGATTGACAACCAAATGCCAACTACAACAAAATCCGGTCCATGGAGAAAGGTTGGTTAAAACAACACATTTATTTCAATAAAGTTATCAGTATCTTCATACATGTTTCTGTTGCTATCATTTCACTAAGAGCGGTCTTGTTCCTCATGAACCTGGCAAGAATTTCATTTCCTTAATTAATTTTCTAGAGTCAACAACATTACTTTGTCTGAGAGTGTTCTTTTGGTTTGTTCTCACATTGATATGCATGGCTGATATCACACCAAGATCTATTTCTATGTGGTTCATAATTATTATCTTGTCTTTGTTGCAGATGCTTTCATCCAAGGATGTAAACTTTGTGGGTTACACATATAAGAACTTCGAAATTGTAAATGACCATCAGTTACCTGGGATTGGTATTTTGCTCCTTCCCTGACGTTACAGTTTTTTGTGTCAATTTGCTCCTTTTAGTTGTCTGCCTATGCATTGAGTCAAAGTTCTCGAAAATGAGTCAACCAATCAGTTTAACAGTTAAGCAGGTTCCAAATGCTGTAACACAACATAATGTGCATAGCTTTTAGCATTCTATAGCATGAATAGAAGGCCTTAAGCTCTGCTGGGGAATACTAGTCTTAAATTAGTGTAGTTTCATTGAATTTGGTCAATGTTAAGGTCCCTTGTCTTTATATCAGTATCAGATCAACTGGAATATCATGATCAACTTGAAGACAAATAGCCTTGACCTAATCCAAGCTTTAGGAGGATTATCTTACCATTCTTATTGAGAAGATCAATAATATTTTTCTCCTGTCTTTTCTTGTCGTTATTTGTTTACAATACAAGTTTATCTTTCCAGTTTGGCTGTGATCTTTGTATTTGACTTGCTTTTTCTAATGAGCAGCTGAATTGAAGAAAAAGAGCACAAAGCCTAAGAGGCCATCCATCAAATCCCTGTTTGGTAAGTTCTTTTTCTTATTGTAATAGAGTTTTTTTTTCTCTTATCAGGGATAGAGCTACACGTATGAGTTAATAGACTTAAAAGCTTCATGTAAGAATTTATTCATTTGCTATTTTGTCTTTTATGGTATCCCCTTTTTATCACTGGTGTTAGGCACATTGAGAAGTGAGGAATTGAGTTTTTATGTCTCTTTCAGCTGTTGATGAACAAACTTTCAAAATCTAGTCAGTCATGTCTACTTGTCTATGATAATTGTTTCTTCGTTGGGAGACAAATCAACTTCATTGGTGCCATGCAGCTTTGGAATTGAACTCTACAATACTATTGAGCCATTTAGCATTTGAGGTATATAATCTTCTAAATAATTTTGGTCTCTGTTACAGAAGACGAGTCAACTGCAGCTGCCAGCCAACCTGTTCAAGGGAGCTTCTTAAACCTCTTGCCACCCCAACTAGAAGCCCCTGAAAATCAGATCAAAAAATGACAGCATCAATTTTTCTCATACTAAATGACATGAGATGGCCTGATTGGCCTCAATTACCAAGACAAGGAGGCTATCTTCTCTGGTGAATAGATTTTCTTTTCCCACATCTTGCATTCCATATTTTTAGCGTGTTGGGAGATAAAAGCTCCCTCAACAGATGGTCTGAGACGTTGATTGAAGGATCTTGTTCTTTTTGTAAAATGATTGGGATGGTATATATTCTTTGATATTTGTTGTCTAATTTTACCCCCATGTAATTATTTACATATTTGTCTGATTGTTCATCGGTGCACAGTCTACAGATAGGGAAGTGGTTTGTCCTCTTATTATTGATTGGTTGTATTTTGTGAGGTAAACTTAAAATTAAGGATATTGCAGTTTTCTTGTAATGATATCTCTTCTTAAAAGACTATATGGTTTCTACCATATTTTTATCAGGTTTTAGGGCTATGAAGCAGAAAGATGGAGGGATAACCTGCTCTGCCCATATTTTGTGTTATAAATGTAAGCCAGATTTCGTGGTTGTAATATTAAAACCTTTGATTTTGTCTTTCTAACGCAATTATTTTTGAATTTTCTGTTCACCTTCAACATATAAGAATATTTCTACTTTTAATTATTTTGTTTTTTTTTTTTTTATATATATAAAAGAACTTAGCATAAATAAAATAATATCTAAAATAATGCATTCTCATCATATGGTTAGGTTATATTTAATATCACTGTAGTTTTTTTATTTTGATTTTAATTTTTATAAATTTTATAATTATTAAAAATTAAAATTAAAATTAAAAACTAACAATTTATTTAAAACGAATTATAACTTGTTTAACAGTATTAAGATTATTTTTATTTTAATTTATCTAATAATTATATCTCAATGACCAATGGAAGTTCCATTAAAAAAATTGTGAAAACAGAAATCATTCATGAGGCACATCTGTAAATTCTAAAGCAAAACAAGAGCCTTTTTTTCTTCCAGAAGCAGAGATGGTAAAGCCGGAGAGCTATTTGTTACAATAAAATAATAATAGCCTTCTCCAGCAAACTTGCTCTTTTTTGTTTTTGAAAGTATTTATTACAGCTAACAAATATATGAACAATGCATCATGAAGAGATCATTCATCTCTTCTTTTGATGAACTTGAGAGGCTTCGTAACAGTGAGGATGAGCTTTTGATCCGGAAGGAACACATAATAAACACAGAAACTACTGTAAAAACGATATTGCACCAGGATCTTGATGAAAACAAGGGAGGAAAAATCACCCTCATTAGAAGCAAACCCTCCTTAACAATAGATGGATGCAGTTGTTTATTTCCTTTTGCCAGAACCAATTGTCAGCAGCTCAAAGCTCCGAAAAGGGTCAACGCGACCTCCCCTTGTTGGTAAAGCACGAGAGAAGGACGATGATTTGGATTCAAATGCAGGTTGATTTCGTTGAGTTGTTGATAGGTGACCGCTGCTTGAAATAAGTCTGCTCGAATGGTTCTCACTAGGCTCACCAGAGGAGCCAGGACGGCTGCTTGATACAACAGCCCTCTTTGAAGTACTGCCATTTCTTGAGGAGGAACGAAGCCTTTCAGGATCAGATTGCTGGACGGATAAAACAAAATTATAGATCATGTTACTGACATGGCAAAATTGTTCAACTTTTAAATTAGAGAGAATAGTTTACAAAAATCAGAGCACTAGAGAAAAAACATTAATAAAAACTTACGTCCTTGGATGATGGCACATCATCTGACAATCTCTGCCTCAAGTAATCACCGTGCAAACCATGGCCAGAGCCATTTCGTCTAGCAAATGCTTCTACTGCACCCGAGAACCTATCACGAATCTCTTGGCCCACTAGAAAGAAAAAAAAAAAAAAAATCAAATTTCTTAGGTTGCAAGATCCTTGAACAAAAAGGAAAAAGTCTACAGATGCTCAGTCCTGCAAAGTTAAGATCATTATTACAGAAACATGAATCTCAACAAAATTAGCATAGGGGCAGACCAAGTGAGCACTTGGGAATCGAGATCCCAAAGTCTCAATAAAACATCAATTAGCAGCTAAATTCTTAAAATATATTTCAAAGTAGTGAAAAGAAATAGACCTGAAGGCCTTTCTACTCTTTCAGCAGATGGTCCTGCAGGACTCACAGCTGCTTTGATACTTGGCTGTTGAAAACAACAGTAAGCACCACATAAGGTTCGTTCACAGCAGAAGTTAGTGTTTTGATTGATAAAGCTGCCAACAAGTTAAAGCTTACTGACCCTTGTTCTTGAGCTGGAGCCAATCTGTGGATACTTCAGCATAGTCCAATCAAAAACATAGTCATATTGATAACCTGCATGAATTGATATTCTGTCAAAACTCAATATAAAATAACCTGGAAAAATCTAGAAGATGAACTAGTGAGAGTCAAATCAGTACTTCAAATTAACAACGTGAAGAAAAAAAAAAGGGTAAGAATTGATATTTTTAAGCTTAAGATTGTTAATTAACCTTCTCTGATGAAAAGGTCCCTAAAGAGCCTCTTCAGGTATGAATAATCTGGTTTATCCTCAAACCGTAATGACCGGCAATAATGAAAGTATGATGTGAATTCTGATGGATGCGATTTGCAAAGGATCTGCAAAACAACATAAAGTTTTAAGCAGATGACATGGTCAATGTATTGAAATTCAGATCCTAAAGACCAGAACTAATCAAATTGATTGTTAAATTTTTACAAGAGAAAAGTTCCTAGGCATTTGCTGCCTGCAGGAGCTTGTGATGGTACCTCTATGGGAGTAAGCATCTTCTTTTCACTAATCTTGTCATATTTCTGCTTTTTGGTGCCCGCTTTCAAGCCCTGCCAGGGAAGGCTGACACGTACAACAAAAAATTAGGTGAAATGTGGTTTAGTATTGGAAAGGCTTAGAGTGGCTAGCAACTTAGCTATATGTAAACCAACCTTCCCCTCAGAAAGTACATAAGCACATAACCAAGGGACTCCAGATCATCTCTTCTGCTTTGTTCTGCATGATATATCAATCACAGTTTGATTAGATTCAAAGCCATAAGAATCTGAATAACAGCAAGAAATAAAATCCACATTAACTATTAGATGCAATAGTTTACTTACCAACTCCAAGGTGAGTGTTAACACTAGCATATCGAGCTGTCCCTGTAAGATTCTTATTTTCTCTGTAAAGGGAACAAAGAAGGATAAATTTTCGAGAAAACAGTGAAAGGGCCTATAAAACTGAAGAACAACTACAATACCATCTTAGCAATTACACACAGATGAGAAGTGAGATGAGTCCCTGCTAAGGATGGCAAATGAAACACCAAACTCCTATAATATTATCTCAGAGAAAATAATAAGTTTTGCCTTTTGCCTTGGTTGGATACCTCACACTCAAATCTTTCGCCACAATAACATGTCAGATATATATTTATTCAAATTGGGATGGTGGAAATGCAAGAATCCATAAATCAAATTCCACAAACAGAACCACAGTACCTGTATGGTATATGCCTTTGTGTTTGAACATCCCTATATTTTTTTGCAAGGCCATAATCAATGATGTATACCTGTGATATATAAGAGAAAAAGGAACCAAGCACCATCTTAAAGAATGGACATACTCAATGGAACTATAGGTTTTAAAAAACACAACTTCAGGTATAATAAGATTAGCAATGACAGCTTATATGGTTTAAAAAAGTAAGGATTCACACTACCAGGGTATTGAAAACTCTTCAATGCAGTTTTTTTTTTTCTTTTAATCAAATATAACTTGCCTCATACACATTAGAAAAGAAAAAGTAGTCCAAAGATAAAGCACACATATCAAATCGAATGGAAGGGCATACCTGATTTGCTTTTCGCCCTAAACCCATTAGAAAGTTATCGGGCTTTATATCACGGTGAAGAAAACCCCGTGAGTGCATATACTCTACTCTGTTTATCTAAATAAGACAATTGAAGGGGAACAAAAATAGTAAGACAGCAACCTTATCATGATAAAAACTTTCTCAAAGCATTTGCATACTTACTAACTGATCTGCAAGCATCAAAACTGTTTTCAAAGAAAACTTTCGATTGCAATAATTGAACAAATCTTCAAGACTAGGTCCAAGAAGGTCAATGACCATACAATTGTATTCGCCCTCAACTCCAAACCATTTAAAATGGGGAATGCCATCTGTGCACAAAACAAGAAACCACTAAATGCACGTGAAACAACATACATTGTCAGCAAATTTTTTGTAAAAATGAAAATGAGAGAGAAACTCACTTCCTCCTTGAAGAAGCATGTACAATTTTGACTCATAGTGAAGCTGTGGGTGCTTGGTCCTCAGAGATTCCTGGTAGAACAAGAGAAACATAATTAATAACATACATAACAGTTCAATCATCACCAATATCAATAGTAAAAAAAAAAAAAAAAATAATTTAATGAATTTTTTTTTTTTTTCAATTTTCAAAGGGAGTTAGTGCCTAAATTCTAATATTTCATACAAATTGCATGACCAGGTAGTCCATAATTAACCATCAAAGATATGATTGATCTCACAACCCCAAATCAGAAGACAATATCCCTAGTTAGACCATGAGATACTAGAGCTATTTACCCCCATACAAACATAAACACATCTGTTCCTATATATATGCACCGATCATCCGATAGAAGCTAAACTAGAATGAAAAATTAAAAAAGCAAACAAATCCAAAGGTGACAGAGTGGAAAATCCAACTTACCAGTTTGACAGCCACTTCCTCTCCAGTTTGTATGTTATTTCCTAAAACCAAACAATTGTAAACATAATTCTCTGTTAACCATAACCAATGAAACCCCCCCCAAAAAAAACAAAAAAAAAAATTGCTAGAATCAACCAGACAATAACCCCACAAACAAAATACCTAAATAAAGTTCACCAAACGATCCACTGCCGATCTTTCGTCCCAGACTGTACTTCCCCCCGATGACATGCTCCATGATCTAACCTCAACCGATGATAATACAAGAATTACCGCCACCTCCCCTTAATCGATATCCAAATACACTTCACCACAGGCAAACCCAAAACCCAGCTACTCGACCACTAAACAATCAAGCTCAAACACAATAAATCCCTCCAAAAATCCGAACCAAGTAAGAAAATTGAACCCCTTATGGCATAACCACTAAAAATTAGCAATACCCATTAATCAGAGAGCTGAAACGAACATTTTGATAATCAACTGACTGCATTTTCTGTAGAAAGTAGGGTGGGAAAAGTAAGAGAAAAGTTAGGTCTTGAGAAGAAAATCTCATAGGTATATCGAAAAAGATGGTATTTTGCTGGAAGCAATGGAATAAGAAAAGAATCTAAAGGGTGTGAATTTATCGGAAAATTTATTCGTGGGGTTTCCTCTGGATCTGGGTTTTGGACAAGAAATGGAGTTTCGCGGAAATTTTTGGGGAAGCAAGAGAAAACAATCAAGGAAGCTTGGATGATTGGTGCAGGGAAAGGTTTGGAGGTAAAAGATGGGATAATATAATGGGATTTTATTATTTTTCTCTATTTGATTTCTTTCTTTTTGAAAAATTAATAAATTTTCTGTTTTCAATTTTAGTCTGTTGATTTTATTATTAGTGCCTGTTTTATTTTTTATTTGTTTGTTAAATTTAATATTTAAAAATTAC